CCCCACGCTCCAGCTTCTGGATTCCTCTTCCCTGTCGACGCACGTTATTCTCCTACCGGAGAGATATTCGCTTATCACCCGTCTCAGGTACCCGGGGACTCCCAAGCCGGCTAGCGCCCTCCTGATTGCCACGTGCGGTAGGGAGTTAAACGCGTTCTTTATGTCGATCGCGACCGCGAGTATGACTCCCTTCTCCTCGGTCACCTCGTCTACATGGGCCCTGACGCAGCTAATCGCGTCCACCGTTGATCTTCCTTCCCGGAAGCCAAATTGCCTTGGGTGGAGGCCTCTGCCCCCATCTCCCTCCAGGCCTCGGACGAGACGGGAAACAACGACTCTTTCGAGTAATTTACCCGCCTCATCCAACAGGCAGATTGGGCGATAACTCGAAGGCGCTTCCGGGGGTTTCCCCTCCTTGGGGATAAGCACCAAACGCGCCTCCTTCCATATACTAGGGAACTTGCCTTCTTTCAGACACCTAGTCATGAGCTCCGCCATGATTCCCCTCAGCTCCGGCATTGCAGCCTTCAGCACAACCCCGGGTATGCCGTCGGGTCCTGGGGCCTTCCCAGTTTTTAGTTTCTTGGCCGCTTTATTGAGTTCCAGATCCGTAACTCGTAGGGCGTCGTCCCATTCTTCGCGTGCATCCGCAATGTCGTGGTCCTCCTCTTGTTCGCCTGTGTCCCCATCGGGGAACAGCGTGCCGACCACCGTGTTTAATAGACCCGGGCTCATGGCCTCTACTGTGGGGGGCGCCCCCTTGTTCAGCCTATCCATGACCAGCTTGTAGGGACGCCCCCACGGGTCCTCGTCTAGGGTCGCAATCATCTCGTCCCAGGCCTTTTCCTTCGCCCGCCTGATTGCGATTTTTAGGGCCAACCTCTTGATTCTATTCTCCTCCAGAAGGGCGTCGAGCTCAGCCAGGTCAGGGGTGTTCCTCCGCCTGGCCCTCTGCACTCTTCTCCTTGCCTGGACCGAATCCCGTCTAAGCGCCGCGATCTCTTCGCTCCACCAATACGCTGCCTTCCGTGGCGTGGAGGTGGACCTCGGCATGCAGTTGTCGCAAGCCCTGGTCATTATCTTTTGGAGTCGTCTGGCCTGCTCCTCGACTCCTTCCTGGGGTATCGGCGTCCAGGTGTCCACTATTAGGGAGGCCTCCATCCAGTCTGGGTCGAGCTTTTTGACGGCCCATCTACGCGGGCGGACTGCTGGGTCTCCTCTTCCACACCTCGGCGTACGTATCTCGATCTCAATCGGTAAATGATCGGAGAGGATATCCGTCTCCTCGATCACTCTCCATGAAGAGATTCCGCCCACCGCCGCAGGGGAGGCCCATGTCAGGTCGACAATGGACTCCCCCTGCGGCCTTACACACGTGCTGACGGCTCCTCTATTAACGAGGTGAAGGCCTAGGCGTGCCGCCCAGTCCATCACCTCCAATCCCTTTGCGTCCGGCCGCCGGGAACCCCACAATGCTGCCTTAGCATTAAAATCCCCGGCGACCAAGACGGGTCCAGGGAGTGCTCCTCTCACGGCTAATTCGAGGTCCTCTAGTCGTTCTTCGAGTTGCGCCCGGGTTAGGCTAGGGGGTAGATAGACACCAATGACGTGGATACCGTTCCATTCCACCATCACCCATCCCTCCCCTGCGTTCTTCTTGGTGGTGGGGATGTGCTTTTCCCCCACCCTCCTCCAGCAGATAGCCGCCTTGCCGTCCAGACTCCCCGTCCAGCACGGGTGGTCCGGAATCCTCAGCGGCTCTGCTATGACCCCCAGGCAACAGCCGCGCTCCGCCATGGCCTGCGCAAACAAGTCGTGCGCTTGGCGGGCGTGGTTAACATTTGCTTGCAATATCTTTAGGGGCATTGCGGGGCCGAGTCCTGGGCCTCCTCCAAGCCCCCCTCCGCTGGGTGGGTCACCGCTGGCTCCTGCAATGTCTCCACCTCC